AAAAAAAAAACACAAAAAAACCTCACTGCCACGGAGTTGTGTCTGACTCAGTGACCCTTCCTTGGGTTTCCGAAGCGGTATCTCTACGGAAGTAGACTACCCAATCTTCCTTCCGAGGAGCGGCTGGTGGGTTTGAACCATCAGCCTTCTGGTTGGCAGTCAAATGCCTTAGGCACTATGCTACCAGAGCTCCCCGTTCCTGCACCGAACTGAAAATTGTTGCTATGTTTGAACCCACTGTTGCAGCCACTGTGTCAATCCATCTTGTTGAGTCTTCCTCTTTTTCACTGACCCTCTACTTTACCAAGCATGATGTCCTTCTCCAGGGACTGGTCCCTACTGATATGTCCAAAGTACGTGAGACCAAGCCTTATCATTCTAGCTTCTAGGAGGAGCATTTTGGCTGTACTTCTACCAAGATAGATTTTTCATTCTTCTGGCAATTCATGGTATATTCAATATTCTTTGTCAACACCGTAATTCAAAGGCATCAATTCTTCTTTGGTCTTCCTTACTCATTGTCTAGCTTTCGTTTGCATATGAGGCAATTGAAAACACCATAGCTTGGGTTAGGACCTTAATCCTGAAAGTGACATCTTTGCATTTTAACAGTTTGCAGAGCTCTTTTGCAGCAGCTCTGCCCGATGTCATCGTTTGATTTCTTTGCTACTGCTTCTTTGGGCAGTGATTGTGGATCCAAGTAAAATGAAATCGTTGATAATTTTAACCTTTTCTTTGTTTATCACGATGTTGCTTTTTGGTCTAGTTGTGAAGAGGTTTGCTTTCTTTATGTTGAGGTGTAATTCATACTGAAGGCTACAGTCTTTGATCTACATCAGTAAGTGCTTCAAGTCTTCACGTCAGCAAGCAAGGGTGTGTCATCTGCATATCCAGGTTGTTACTGAGTCTTTCTGCAAACCTGATGGCACATCCTTCTTCATATAGTACAGCTTCTTGGATTATCTGCACAGCATACAGATTGAATAACTATGGTGAGACGATAAAACCCTCACACACACCTTTCCTCATTTTAAACATGCAGTATCTATCCCCTTGCTCCGTTTGAATGACTACCTCTTGGCCTGTATACAGCTTCCTTCATGAGCACAATTAAGTGTTCGGGAATTCCCATTGTTCGAAATGCTATCCATAATTTGTTATAATTCATGCAGTCAAATGACTTTGCATAGTCCACAAAACACAGATAAACAACTTTCTAGTCTTTTTCGGCCACGATCTATCTGACATCAGCAATGACAGCCCTCATTCTACATCCTCTTCTGAATCTGGCTGGAACTTCCGGCAGTTCCCTGTTGATGTACTGCTTCTTTGCAGTCTCACCCAGTCATTTTGTGGGAGTCACACAGACTACAGCTACATGGGCCATATTAAGCACCTCACTGCACCACACCCCTCTCCCAGGGGCCTCTGACGAATAAGCTGCCCAGCGATATTGGTCCCAGCTTTCCCCTAACACATTCTTTCCTTCTAGGGGGCTGCTTTGCAAAAAACTCTTCCTTCTCATCAGGCCTAGAGGTGCTCTGACCTTCACCTTATCCGTTTTAATTTGACCTGTGGTTGGCTTTTCCCGTAGACACTCCTCAAAAACCTCCAACAACCTGGCAGCTGTTATACAGAGGTGAGGCCCGAGGGGATTAGGCCTCCTGTGATTTCCGTTCCCGTTCCTCCCTTAAATAATTACCCGAGACCATGGCAGATCAGTCCCCTCCTCAAGCTGTCTGCAGAGAGCAACGAGAACAGCGGCTGGGTGAGTCCGAGCACGAAAGGGGCGAAGCGGCCTCGGCAGGTCGGTGAGGGTGCGGACGGCCGCGCACTTCGCTGCTTTCCCTGCCCCACCACCTCGCGGAAACCACCGTGCCCTGCCGCGGGCCGCCCAGCGGCCTCCACAGGGCGGGGCCTCCGGGAGGCGGGGCGCGGGGCGGGGC